CAGTCAGGAAGGAGGGGGGGTTGGGATGGGGCGGCGGGGGGCGAGTTACGGGCGAGGGAGTCCGGGGGTGGTCGAGGGGACAGGGAGGCAGGGGGGGTGGGATGGGGTAGGGGTCCGTGGGGGGCAGGGGTCCGTGGGGGGCTGTCAGGGAACAGGGGGGTTGGATGGGGCAGGAGGCCGTCAGGGGCGAGAAGCAGGGGAGGTCGGATGGGGGCAGGGGCCGGGCCACGCCTGCCTGTTTGGGGAGTCACAGCCTCCCCTAACCGGCCCTCCAATTCTGAAACCCGATGCGGCCCTCAGGCCAAAAAGTTTGCCCGCCCCTGTTTTACATCAGCAAGCAGGGAGAGGCTCAGTCTACAGCCCTGTGCCAGGAGAACCTCCAGCTGTGGAACTTCTGCATGAAACACACCATTCACCTCAAGGCGTCATCTCCTGGGAGCCTGAAATGCACTGGCAGATTGCCTCAGCAGATCCTTTTCCTCTCGCCACAAGTGGTCTCTTTACTCAGTCGTCAGTGTCATCTCCCCAGGGGGACCTGTTCACCGCCAGACAGAACAGGAAATACCATCAGTTCTGTTCGCTGCGCAGGCACAGCATGGGCTCCCTCTCCATTGCCTTCCTGCTCTTGTGAGCAGACCACCTACTGTACGCCTTCCCACCAATTCTCTTGGTTGACAAGATCCTCCTAAAAATCAAACAGGACAAGGTGAGGGTTTTCCTGATAGTACCAGCATGGCCACGCCGGCATTGGTTTGGCATATTTCTGGACCTCTCAGTGGTTGTTCCGCTCATGCTTCCACTCCACCCAGATTTGATTTCACAAGACCACGGCCAGTTGTTTCACCTGAACCTCACCTCTCTGCACCTGACTGCATGGTTGCTGTACAGCTGAATACTGAAGAGCAAGCCTGCTCGGTCAGGTTCAACAGGTCTTGCTAGGTAGTAGAAAGCTTCCCACCAGGGCAACCTACCTGGCCAAGTGGAAACATTTCACATGTTGGGCCTCTGAACGGAATCTGTCTCCATTCAAATCTTCTCTGCAGTCTGTCTTGAACTATCTGCTCCACCTAAATCATCAGGGTCTGGGTTTCTCATCTATTAAGGTTCACTTGGCACCCATCTTAGTCTTCCACGCTCCAGTACAGGGCAGATCAATGTTCTCCCATTAGATGACAGTCAGGTTTCTCAAGGGTCTCTAGGGTTGGGAATCATCAAGAAAGGGATAGATAATAAGACAGAAAATATCATATTGCCTCTATATAAATCCATGGTACGCCCACACCTTGAATACTGTGTGCAGATATGGTCGCTCCATCTCAAAAAAGATATATTGGAATTGGAAAAGGTTCAGAAAAGGGCAACAAAAATGATTAGGGGTATAGAACGGCTTCCGTATGAGGAGAGATTAATAAGACTGGGATTTTTCAGCTTGGAAAAGAGGCGACTAAGGGGGGATATGATAGAGGTTTATAAAATTATGACTGGTATAGAGAAAGTAAATAAGGAAGTGTTATTTACTCCTTCTCATAATACAAGAACAAGGGGCCACCATATGAAATTAATAGGTAGCAGGTTTAAAACAAACACAAGAAAGTATTTTTTTACGGAATGCACTGTCAACCTCTGGAACTCCTTGCCAGAGGGTGTTGTGAAGGCCAGTACTATAACGGGGTTCAAAAGGGAGCTAGATAGATTCATGGAAGATCAATGGCTATTAGGCAGGATGGGCAGGAATGGTCCCTAGCCTCTGTTTGCCAGAAGCTGGGATTGGGTGACAGGGCATGGATCACTTGATGATAACCTGTCTGTTCATTCCCTTTGGGGCACCTACCATTGGCTACTGTCAGAGGACAAGATACTGGGCTTGATGGACCTTTGGTCTGACCCAAATGGTCTGATGACCGTTCTTATGTTCTTATGTTCTCAAAAGACTCTACCCTCAGGTTGGCGAACTAGTCCCCCGACGGGAATTAAACTTGGTCCTGTCAAAGTTCATGGGGCCTCCCTTTGAGCAGTTAGCATCTTGTTCTTTACTGCTTCTCTTTTGGAAGGTCACCTTCCTTGTGGTGATCACCTTGGCCAGAAGGGTCTCTCAGATCAAAGCCCTTATGTCAGAACCCTTTATACAATGTTCTTCAAGGACAAGGTCCAGCTGTGCCCCCATCTGGCCTTTCTACCAAAGGTGGTTCACAATTCCACAGCATCCAGGATATTTTTCTACCTGTCTTCTTCCCAAAACCTCACAAGAATGCTGAGGAATGTTGGCTTCATATGTTGGATGTTAGGCAGGCGCTCGCCTTTTATATTGAGAGAACTAAGCCCTTCCGCAAGTCCATGCAACTCTTTGTAGCAGTAGCGAAAAGGATGAAAGGGCTACCGATATCATTCCAAAGAATCTTATCCTGGATAACCACCTGTATCTGAGCTTGCTACAAGCAGCGAAGGTTCTGCCTCCGGCCATTGTGACCACTCATTCCACAAGAGCCCAGACTTCTCAGCAGTATTCCTTGAAGTTACCGATTCAGGACATCTGCAGGGCTGCAACTTGGTTGTCGGTGCATACCTTCCCATCCCACTACGCCATCATCCAACAGGCTCGAGATGATGCCGGTTTCAGAAGAGCCGTGTTACAGTCAGCACGCCCATGAACTCCGAGCCCACTTCCGAAAGTACTGCTTGTGAGTCACCTAGCATGGAATGGAGATGAGCAAGCACTCGAAGTAGAAAAAACAGTTATTAACCATTTGTAACTGTTGTTCTTTGAGATGTGTTGTTCATGTCCATTCCATGACCCACCCTCCTACCCCTCTGTTGGAGTTACCAGCGAGAAGGAACTCAGAGGGTGCGGGGCTGGCAGCACCCCGTATACTAGCGCATATATGCACAATTCCAGAGAGCGCTAAAGTGGGCCCAACGGATACCACTGAGGGAAAAATCTTCCTCAAGTGTGCATGCGGCGCACACACACCTAACATGGAATGGACATGAGCAACACATCTCAAAGAACAACAGTTATGGAAGGTTAGTAACCATTTTTTCCCTCACCAATTTTGTTGTGTCTTACAAAAACAAAGGAACTGAATATGTGCAACAAGGTCTAAGGTCTTTATTTAGAATTGGTTTCAGAATTCAAGGTCAAATTTACCATTGCCTGTGTTGCACCCTGACAAAGGGTGATCTCCTAAGTATTGCAGGTGAATGGGTGACAATTGCACTACCCAGCAAAGAGCTGTTCATGTGGCAATAGCAGGGGAAGAAAGAGGATAGATAGGGAGAGGGAGATATCCAGAGGTTAGCTATAATTTTTAAAAGTCCTAACTGGCTTGGGACTTGGTTACTTGAGAGACATCTTCCCACCCCGTGCCATACTGCTACACATACAACCAGCAAAGATGGTAGAGCTTGAGCTCCCTTTTTCTCTGAGGGTAGGTTGGCGGGGGGGGGGGGGCAGATGTCCTCCATAAAGGTCCCTCAGCTCTGGAACTTGCCTCCTTCATCTATCAGAGCTCAGATCTGTTGACCTTCCTGTCAGGCAGGAAAGCTTGCTTTTCCTTCCAGGCATTTAGGCTCCAGTTCAGCAAGATACTTAAACACATGCTTAAGTCCACCTCCATTAAGGAAAGCACTTAAGTATGTGCTTAAATTTTAAGCAGATGCTTAAATACCATTAAAGTCAATGGGACATAAGTGCTTGCTTAACATTAACCAAGCACTTAAGTGCTTTCCTGATTAGGAATGGTTTGCTGGGCCTCAGGGAGGGGCTCAGTCCCTGCGAGGGCGGCAGTCAGGCAGCCTTCTGCGGTTTGCCTGCGGGAGGTCCGCCAGTCCCGCGGATTCGGTGGCATTTCGGCGGCGGGTATGCCGAATCTGCGGGACCAGCAGACCTCCCACAGGCATGCCGCCGAATCCACGGGACCGGGGACCTCCCACAGGCATGCCGCCACAGGCATGCCGCCAAAGGCAGCCTGCCTGCCGTGCTTGGGGCGGCAAAAAAGCTAGAGCCGCCCCTGTCTGTAATGGAGTGAGCAACCTATTATTTGTTATGTTGAAGAATGATGTGTGGTTGCAAATGTTAATTGCAATGCAGGATGGGCACCTGTTAAGGAATTACGTCCCTTTATAAACAGAAGGAATAAATACACAATTTTCAATAGCGGTCAAGACAGTGCTATTTGTCCTCTTTATCAGTGTACCAGGGAAAATGCCAAACCATCATCTGATCTCTTCCTTACTCTCTTTAAGATTGGACTTTGTTTGAATCTGAGAAATTTGCCATGGTATGTTCCAGCAAATCCAAATACCTTTTTCCCCCGCTGCTATGGTATTTGCATGGATGATGAGAAACATGATTTTATAGGTAAGTCATTTGAGTAGCTTCTATGTTCAATCGCAGGCATTTCTCTATACTGATAACTTGATCTTGAAAGCAAAGGTCTAAGCAGTGTGGCCTGGATCCAGCAAAGCACTTAAGCACACTCTACTTTAAACATGTCAGGAGTCCAGCTGAAGTCACTAGGACAACTCACATGCTTCAAGTTCAAACTTGTGCTTGTGTTTTGCTGGATCAGAGCTAGAATACTCACTACCTGGCATCCATACAGAGCCAAATTCTGCCCTCAGATTACTCCCACTCAGGTCCCAAAGAGCCCCACAGCTTCTCTGAGTGAAACATCTTTGCAGAATAGTTTTAGTTCATACATGTTTTCAAATTAAGGGCTAGTGTCATGCACTAATTTGCCCATGTGGACCCTGCTGGCATGTTCCTTAGTGTATATTAATGGTGGTACTGTTTGAGAAAGGACTACACTAAATGCGCACTAGGGAACTTTTAGTGCACTTCAGCAGTGGCCACACAGGTGAGTTAGTGTACAGCACCCTAGTGTGCACTAGAATTTACACCAGGGGTCGGCAACCTACGGCACGTGTGCCGATTTTGCCTGGCACACGGCTGTCAGCCAGGGTCCTGGCCACCAGCCCCACTCAGCCTGCTGCCGGCTGAGTGAACGGAACCCCAGGCCAGCAGGAGGCTGAGCGGGGCCGGCGGCCGGGACCCCAGACCGGCAGCAGGCGCGCCCTCCGGCTCCCCCCTCACCGCGCTCGGGTTCTGTGGCTCCCGGAAGTGTGAGCCGCCGCAGCTGCCCCTCCCGGAGCTCCCCCCTCCCGCTGCCTCAGCACTCTGCGGGGGAGGGGCTGTGCCCGCGGCAGCCCAGCAGTATGTTTTGCCTCCACGTGGAGCCTGCGTCTGACTGGCATGGGCATGGTAAGGGGAGTCCCGGGGGGCAGTCAGGGAGCAGGGAGAGGGTTGGATGGGTCGGGAGTTCTGGGGGTCCTGTCAGGGGGCAGGGAGTGGTTGGATGGGGCGTGGGAGTCCCGGGGGTCTGTCTGGGGGCGGGGGTGTGGATAAGGGGTGGGACAGTCAGCGGACAGGTAGGGGGTAGGGTGCTAGGGTGGGGGGGGTCTCAGGAGGGGGCAGTTGGGACAAGGAACAGGGAGGCTTAGGTAGGGGGTGGGGTTCTGGGGGAGAGTTAGGGACAGGGGTCCCAGGAGGGGGCAGTTAGGGGACAAGGAGCGGGGGTGTTGTGATTTGTGAGGGGGACAGTCAGGGGGTGGGAAGTGGGAGGGAGTGGATGGGGCAGGCCTAGGGCGGGGCTCTCCCCCCCGTCCTCTTTTTTGATTGTTGAAATATGGTAACCCTAGGCAAGGGGGGAGCGGGGGGCGCATGGGGGCTGGTGCTCGCATGCATCCGCTGCAGCCTGCAGGAGCCCCCGGGGGGGTGCCAGACCGCAGCCTGGGCAGGAAGGGCGGGGGGCGCGGCTAATCCCCACTAGCGGTGCTGCCGCCTTTGCAGGGCTGCTGCCCCCCTGCACTGCGCCGGCTCCTCCATGGCTGGGGCTCGCTGCCGCTGTAAGCAGGACGCTCTGGTTCTCTGGTGCCTCCGGAAGGCGGCTTCTTCCTGCCGAGCTGCTGCAGTGGCCCAAGCCTGGCAAAGCCAGTGAGTGACTCAGGACGGGGGCCACCAGGGTGGGGTGGGGAGGGCTTGTGGGCAGGGCTGGCTCCAGGCACCAGCCCACCAAGCATGTGCTTGGGGCAGCACCTGGAGGGGGGCGGCGCGGCGCTCCAGCCCGAGAGCGGGGCCGCGACTGGGCTCGCCGCCCTTCCCCTGGTGCTCTGGCCGCCGGGGAGAGCGGACCCACAGCCGGGCTCGGCGCCCTCCCCTGTCACGCTCCCTTGTCTGGGGCGGCAAAAAAGCCAGAGCCGGCCCTGCTTGCGGGGGGGCTGTGCACCCTCCAGGGGAGTTCAGGGGGCGGGGAGGGAACCTGGTCTGGGGAGTAGCCCCTGGGCATGGCTGGCCCCTGGGCAGGCTGGCCCCTGGGGTCTATAAAGGCTCATTGGGATTTGCCCCTCAATGAACCGATGTGCACGGGGGGGGTCGCAAGGTGGAAGTTTCGCCTAAGGCGCAAAATATCCTTGCACTGGCTCTGCCCCAGGGGGTGCATGCACCCCAGGTTAAGAACCACTGCACTAAACTGATAAGATCTGCATTTTAATTTAATTTTAAATGAAGCTTCTTAAACATTTAAAAAAACTTGTTTACTTTACATACAACAATAGTTTATAGACTTATAGAGAGAGACCTTCTAAAAACATTAAAATGTATTACCGGCACGCGAAACCTTAAATTAGAGTGAATAAATGAAGACTCGGCACACCACTTCTGAAAGGTTGCCGACCCCTGATTTACACCCTTGGAGTGCAGACTAAATCACAGTGTAGACAAGCCTTTTGTTTGAAAATATGCATGAACTAAAACTACTCTGCTCCCAGTTACACTGGTGTAAATGCAGTACAGCTGCATTATTCGATAATAGGAGGAACGCAAGGTTGTTTACCCTAAGGTAGATCATTTATTTTCTAAATCTTTATTTTTTCTGAATTTTTCAGAAACTTAAAGTAGATCAATTAATCATTCTTCTGTCAGATTCTAGCAATTAAGGCATAATTTTCATAGCTGAGGAGTTCTGCCCGAAAGCAATTTTTAAACCTTCCTGGTGCATGAAAGAAGAGGATTAATTAAATAATTTCTTTGTTGCGTTTTAAATTGAGCTTCTGTCAATGAAGTTCAAACTAATTTATTGCCTAAATCTAATACTGCTAGAATTTTTTTAAAGTCTTTTAGAGATGTGTGGGTTAGTGACAGGTCAAGTTTATGAGCTGTTTGTTTGAAAACAGGAAACTATCTACTGTTTTGTGAAGGTTCATCATTCTTATTTCACTCCACTGAAAATTTTATGTTGCATGACTGCAATACAAATTGAAAACAAAGTGTCTACAAATTTTCAAGGCGTCAGAAACACCCTGCAGGCATTATAAACTGCTCTTGAGAGCCAAATATTTCAAGCGTCATAAATAAGTGATGTAACAAAGATTGTATTTTCATTTAATGCTACAAAGTAAATTTAAAGTAGTAGTATATTACAGAGTGATCTAAAAGGGATCTCGATAGTTGACTATGACTATGGAATGTACAGTGCAGCTGGGAGGAAGTGGAAGGGTTTAAAGGTGGTTCTTGTGCTCCCCACTTTGTGATGCCAGTCAAGTGCCTGGCCTGAAGGCTGCTTTATTATATTTGCTACCAATTGCCCAAAGTGACTGGTAAAACAGTTGGTGTTCATGAAATCCTTGGCCATACCGAACCACAGCTGTGTACCACCAGAGGATTCCTATATGGTGGGGTGATCTAAGGGCAGACATTTTGGATTGAAGTTGGCCCTGCATTGGTGGTGCAGTATAAAATGGTCGCAGTGCATGGAAGAATCTGAGTTAGGATGTGCATATGACCTGTTCTTTTTACAGAAAATAATTTCGGTCTGGAGTAATGAGTCATTTCATTGAATTTATTACTTCAAAGGCAAATTTCCTGCCCTGTTAATTTTTAATGCCAAGCCTCTTAAAATAGATGACATTATACAATACACCGTAGAAAGAACAGTAAATGTATGTATTTGTGCATATATTTTGTATATGGAAATATGTAAAACCACAAATTATCAAGAACGCTTTTTAGTGAGTTTTCAGACTTTCAAGATGCATTTTAAAATATGAGTCTACCATCTTTTAATGAGCTATTTAAGATGGACGAATGTTGATACTGCGATGGACAAACTTCATAAGATTTTGATGTGTGGTTTGGTTCAGTTCAGATAAAATCCACAAAATCTAGGTGTTGGTGAAAATTTATCTGAACTTTCCAAGCCCTGCCCACACAAACCACATTCTTCAGTAGACACACAGCCCCCAGCCAACCACTGGTCCTGACTTTCCTTTGCCTCGTTATAGGTTGTCTTTGTTGAAGAGGTCTGACAGTCTTCTACTCTGTCTTCTCTTTACATGGCAAACAGGCAGTAGACTACTTTCAGGTTTATTAAGGGGAATAGCCAGTCTCATTATTTGTTTTTGAAGGGACTGCAACTTGGTTCTTTCACTGCTGTGGGGTATTCTGGGACAATGCAGCTATTTTGTTGTTCCCTGGGATTTCATCAGGGTCAGTCAGATGTCCTGCTAGATCCTCTGTTTGAGGGCTGACCAAGTGGCCTGCTGCCCCCTCAAATTCCTGGTATTGACAATCTTCTGTGGGCTGGCAGCTTGACAAAACGCATCCTATTTTTCTTAAGTAGGACCCAGAAATGTTTTGCTGGTTGCATGTTGCTGTCTCTTTCAACTCTATAGTGCTGTGTGATGGGGACACTTTATAGTCCAATAAATGACAGAATTAGGATTTCTAAATAGCACATTGCACACTGTGGATCCAGCTGTGATGGGTTCCTCCCAGGGTGCCACCTGGAACGGGGGTACCACTGAGCCTCCTGACCCACCAGCCTGGGCTCCCTCTCACACTGTACTGTTGTGACAAACTGCAAAGCCCTTCAGCCTGCATTTTCACCAGCATTCACACAGGTAGGGACACACCCAGCTGCAGTTACACAGAGGCTCTCAAACTACCAGCTTCCCAGCCTAGGACCCCAGAGCAGTACTGTTCTGCCCTGGTCAAATCTGGCCAGTCAGCCTCTTCCTCAATGTGAAGAGAACAATGCATACTTATGATAATCAAGCAGAGATTTTCTGCAACCACTCCAGTCAAAGTTCACTGGTTTAGAGTAAAACATAAAATAAATTTATTAACTACAAAAGATAGATTTTAAGTGATTGTAAGTGATAGCAAACAGATCAAAGCAGATTATCTAGCAAATAAACAAAAACGCAACCTAAGCTTGATATACTAGACAGATTGGATATGAATAGCAGATTTTCACCCAAACTGATGGTACAGGCAGACTTGTAGATTCTTCAGGCACAAGCTGCATTAGCTTTACAGCTTGGGTTTCTCAGGTCTTCATACACAGGGTAGAAATCCCTTTAGCCTGGGTCCAGCACTTCCCCCAGTTCAGTGTTTGTTCCTCAGGTGTTTCCAGGAGTCTTCTTGTGGTGGGAGTGAAGCACCACAGATGATGTCACTCCCTGCCTTATATAGCTTTAGCATATGGCGGGAATCCTTGGTTTCAAAACTTGGTTCCCAGACTGGTTTGTGGAAAAATACTGACATCCCAAGATGGAGTCCAGAATCATGTGGCCTGGTCATATGTCCTTGTAGAGACATAGCAGCTATTACTTACAGGCTGGCTGTAGCATTCTCAGGAAGGCTCACCAGGTGGGGGATAAGCTTCTTCTAAGGCCTGTTGTTTTTCCTAATGGCTCATTGTCCTGAATAGGTCCTTCCCAACCAGCTATCTAGACTGAAAGCATCTTGTCTAGCGGGCGTCACCCAGGTGTAACTACATTTGAAGTACAGATACAAAAGTCAGTATTTATAACTTCAGATACAAAAAACGATACGTGATAATCATATTAAGCAAATCATAACTTTTCCAATTACACCTCACATGACTTATCTTGCATAAAATACATCATACTTATGCTATAATAATATCATAATAATATCACAATGAAGAATATGGGGTGAAGTGTCGCACCAGCATCAATATTCTTTCACAACATCCACATCTCAGAAAGCCACAGATAAATGTGCTGGAATCATAGAATCATAGGACTGTAAGGGACCTCAAGAGGTCATCTAGCTCAGTCCCCTGCACTCATGGCAGGACTAAGTCTTATCTAGACCATCCCTGACAGGTGTTTGTCCAACCTGCTCTTAAAAATCTCCAATGATGGAGATTCCACAGCCTCCATAAGCAATTTATTCCAGTGCTTAATCACCCTGACAGGAAGTTTTTTCTAATGTCCAACCTAAACTGCCCTTGTTGCAATTTAAATCCATTGCATTTTCTCCTATCCTCCGAGGTAAACTAGAACAATCTTTTATGTACTTGAAAACTCTGATCATGTCTCCTCTCAGTCTTCTCTTCTCCAGATTAAACAAACCTAATTTTTTTCAATCTTCCCGCATAGTTCATGTTTTCTAAACCTTTAATCATTTTTGTAGCTCTTCTCTGGACTTTCTCCAACTTGTCCACTTCTTTTCTGAAATGTGGCGCACAGAACTGGGCACAGTACTCCAGTTGAGGCCTAATCAGCGTGGGGTAGAGTGGAAGAATTACTTCTCGTGTTTTGCTTACAACACTCCTGCTTATACATCCCAGAATGATCTTTGCTGTTTTTTGCAGCACGGTTACATTGTTGACTCATATTTAGCAAGTGATCCACTATGATCACCAGATCCTTTTCCGCAGTACTCCTTCCTAGGCAGTCATTTCCCATTTTGTTTGTGTGCAACTGATTGTTCTTTCCTAAGTGGAGTACTTCACATTTGTCCTTATTGAATTTCATCCTGTTTACTTCAGACCATTTGTCCAGTTTGACTCAAACATTTTGAATTTTAATCCTATCCTCCAAAGCACTTGCAACTCCTCCCAGCTTGGTATTGTCTACAAACTTTATAAGTGAACTCTCTATGCCATTATCTAAATCATTGATGAAGATATTGAATAGAATTGGATCCAGAATTGATCCCTGCAGGACCCCACTTGTTATGCCCTTTCAGCTTGACTGTGAACCACTGATAACTACTCTCTGGGAACGGTTTTCCAACCAGTTATGCATCCACCTTATAGTAGCTCCATCTAGGTTGTGTTTTCCTTATTTGTTTATGAGAAGGTCCTGTGAGACAATATCAAAAGCTTTACTTAAGTCCAGATATACCACATCTACCACTTCCCCTTATCCACAAGGCTTGTTGCCTGTCAAAGAAAGCTGTCAGGTTGGTTTGACGTGATTTGTTCTTGACAAATCCTTGCTGACTGTTACTTATCACCTTATTACAGTAAAAGCTGTGTTATCTGGCACTTTACCAACTGGAAAGCTCTAGAAACTGGCATTTCTGATATCCATTAAAAGTCTAGTTGGTGCAGGGCCGGCAGGCTCCCTACCTGGCTCCGCGAGGCTCCCCAGAAGCGGCGACATGTCCCTGCTGCTCCTAGATGGAGGAATGGCTATGGGGGCTCCATGCACTGCCCCCGCCCCGAGTGCTGGCTCCGCAGCTCCCATTGGCCTACCATTGGCCTCCCAGGAACTGCGGCCAATGGGAGCTGCAGGGGTAGCGCCTGCGGGCAGAGGCAGCACACAGAGCTGTCAGGTGCCGCGCCTCCGACTAGGAGCAGCCGGGACATGTCGCCACTTGTGAGGAGCCGCCCAAGGTGAGCGCCACCCGGATTCAGCTCCCCAAAACCCCTCCCGTGCCCCTGCCCCGAGCCCCCTCCTGCACCAAAACTCTCTCCCAGAGCCTATGCCCCAACCCCCGGCCCTGAGCTAGGTTTTCTACTTTTTATAAAAGACTGATGTGTGGCGTGGAAAATAGTATTTATGCTTAGTAATGTTTTTCATACAGTTCTTATGAAAACCACATTCTTTTAACAGGATTATCCCTTTGTGGGCATTCTGTTTAGTGGATCAGAATCTAAAATAATATGTTATGTGTTTTAGAGGACTTCAGGAATACAGCAGCGTGTAGCATACTCAAATGGGTCATCAGTCTTAATGCCTGTGATAAAAAAACACAGAAGTCTAAAGGAAAAATTAATAAAGAAGATGTAGGCCAGAAGAAAGGTATTTCTTAAATATCAGTGTTAACATTACAATTATTGGTGTCGAAAAAGGGCCGAGGAATATCTTGTTAATCTGTAATTAAACTGCATATTTTTAGAGGACAAATATTAGCTTTTTCCTGTAATAACTACAGTGGCCACCATTTAAAAAGTCAATTTTTATCAATAGTTATCCCAATGGTATTTGACAGACCATATTAATTTCTGACATCTGTAGATCTGTGATGGATAGGATCTGTTAAAAGACAGTTTTAAAAGGACTTGTTCTCTACTGGGATTGAGCCATATATTAAAACTTTATGCATCTGAGAGTGCAGGAACATTTTATTTTTGCCTAATGCTTCTTTGTGTCCCTCAAAAGTAGCTTGTAAATTCCCCTTCAATTTTTATATATAGCTAAATTTCCTCCAAAGCCTATGCACTGAAAATAGGTTGTAATTAAGCAAAGTTATTAATAAGGTTTTGTATGAATAGTCTGGGGCTCGATCCTGGTTCATCTGATGTCAGTGGGAGGTTTTTGCCATTGACTTCAGTGAGTTAGATCAGGTGTGATGGCTGGGCTTTCAGGGTTGAATAGACATGTAACTATGGAGTTATGCATCTAACCAGATGTGCATGGTTACTAGGTGTGCCTATGGAACTTTCATAAAGGCAGCTGAGCCTGCTGTAAGGTGGCTGTGCACTTTGGGGGAAGTTAAACATTTGGGAGCATTTTTGGAAAGGCTAGGAATTAAATGCCATACAAAGATTTCCACAATGGTGGGGCTGGAGCTGAAAAGTCAGCCATCCCAGGCTATGCGTGGGTGGACACTGGCCTGGGTTGCTCCTTAGTGCCGGTCAGTGCTGCAGAGGCTAAGTGTGGGAAACTGCAAAAAATACATACAATGGTTTGAGCATTGGCCTGCTAAACCCAGGGTTGTGAGTTCAATCCTTGAGGGGGCCATTTAGGGATCTGGGCAAAAATCTGTCAGGGACTGTACTTGGTCCTGCTGTGAAGGCAGGAGACAGGACTCGATGACCTTTCAAGGTCCCTTCCAGTTCTATGAGATAGGTATATCGCCATGTTAAAAAAAAATCTATGGGAAATCAGATAAGTGTGGAAATCTAAAGTGCTGTTTATCTAATAAAAGTGTAAGGAGGAAGTACAGACAGAAGAAAAATATGAGAAAACTAGACACAGTCCCAGCCCTGTCATACATTAAGTACACACAAACAGACTGCTTGGGACCTAGTCATGAGGCTAAACATCCATGTCATCCTGTTCATATTGCAAGGCTTCTGCCTTACACTGGAAATGGAAAAGAGGATTGACAGCTGTAAATGCTGTCTTTCACCTGTGGAGTTGAAAATATGAATACTCAGTAAGTTGCACATCTGATACACTCTACTAATAGTCATTGAGCCAGTCATTGAGTGGGGGCATCAGGAGTAGCAGATGGGAGAGATACATTTGTAAGTTGCTAGCAATAAAACAGTGCAATAAGATACAGCCCTTGCACATATAGCTTATGAGTGATATCAAGTTGCCCTATCTCCTGGGTAACTTTCTTGCATGATTACTCCTAGGGGAATTGTGCTCCACTGTGTGTGCGCAGAATTCATGTCCCCCACAGATTTCTTTGCTTCCCCACAGAAAAATGACTTTCTGACAGGGAAGTAAAGGAAAGCTGCAAGAGAAGTCACGCACCGTCCCTTAACTTTGCTGGTACATCCTTTCAGACACCTGGAGCAGTCGGCTGAGAAGTAAATCACCTCAGGGCTGGGGACATCTCAGCCAGTGGCTTCTACCCTGAGCCAGGATCAGCTGCCAGTACTGGCTGGGCTGGAGGCAGGAGAGGACAGGACTTTCCCTTCCCCTGCAAGGAGTGGCTGAGGCTGTGTCAGACCCACCCCCGGAAATCTCCCCCAGCTGCAGGAAGCTCAGCATCCTCCCCTGCTTCCTGCCCCCATTGCTCCTCAGCTGTGGGGGTAGGGATCACTGTATGGGGATCTGCTCCCCCATCCAACCAACCCCGTGCATCTGGACCTCCCATATCTAGACACCCCCACCAAGCCTGACCCCATACACCCAGAACCGCCCAGCCCTCCATACCAACCCCACCCCATTGAATCTCAACCCCTGCATCTGGAGCCCCCTGCCTCCAGACCCCCACCCCTGTACCCAGATCACCCCCCCCCCACTGAGCTCCCTGCAGTCAAACCCCCAGCCTGATGAGCTCCACCCCCCTGCACCACCCTGGGCCCCCACATCCAGACCTCCACACCACTGACCCCCAATTAGCTGCACCCAGACTCCCACCCCACAAAGCCCCACTCCCCCAGCACCCAGACCCCCCCATTGAGCCCCAACCACTTTCACCTAGCAGCCCCTGCAGAGTCCCATTGCCTCTGCACCTGGAACCCCCCCAAAGAGCCTCTGTGCATCCAGATCCCCCCACACCTAGACCTGCCACTGAGCTGCCCGCACCCAGATTGTCCCACACAGAATCCTCTCATCCCACACCTGGATCCCCTATGCCCCTCCACACTTCGATCTTGCCTGGTTGAGTCTGCCTGCCCCACACCTGGTGTGCCTCACACAGAGGGGCAGGGCCCAGGGTGTTTCTGGGGCAGGCCCAGGCCTTGTCCTGTGTCAGGGTTGGGTGTAACCTGACCACTGATTCCGTGTCCCCGGGGTGGGGGATGGGGAGGCTGCAAGGTGATCTCCTACATTAGTGCAGCCAGTGGCCTGTGCTCCCCACTGCCATGCTAGAGTCTCTGCATTTATTTATTGACAAATAAAACTTGCAGAATTTTGCAGAATTTTAAAATATTGTCCACGGAATTTTTAATTTTTTGGTGCAGAATGCCCTCAGGAGTAATCATGATGGACTAGACTAGAGCACCACTGTCTCTTCTTGGCAGGGGTCCTGTCACCCTCACACTGGGCTTTTAGTCCTGCTTTAAGTGGCAGTCTCAATGTAACTTCAACTAGGGAGTCATTGCAAACACCTTTGTAACGTATTCATTTTTCCTTTCTCATTTTGTTTCTGTTGTACAAAACAATAAAAACTCTCAAACTGAAAAAAGAAATCTATTGCAGCCAGAAGAAAGCCATCAAATGTGAGAGATTCCCCATACGTTGGGGAAGACTTGCTTCTCTCATTGTACGTATGTTCCAGAAATGTACTTACCTCACTGACATGTCCTAAATCATCTGCTTTTTTTAGATCCTGTAGATTCTGATGAAAAGGAAATCAAGCAACTTCCTGGAAAACTAATAGACATGGCTTGCCAGGTTTGTGAAACCTACCTTGGGCAGATGGAACATGAGGACATTGACACAGCAATGGATGCTTCTGCAGTTCTTAGTGAGGAGGAATGGAAAGACTTAATTGAACAGTACTACTGTCTCATTCAGTAAGATTTCACAACTCCAACTGTTTTGAATTAAAGACCTGATTAAGGGTTAGGTTATAATTCCCTTACTCATAATGAGTAGTACTTTACCCCACAAATAGCCCCATTGTAAGGGGTGTAAGATAATCTTCATTGTGAGTAAATGTATCACATTTTGGCCCTAAATGTAAATTCAGATTAGAAATAGACCCTTAATTCCAATAAGAAATACTATAATCATAGACTCATAGAAGATTAGGGTTGGAAGAGACCTCAGGAGGTCCAACCCCCAATATGTTGTCAAGTATCAGAGGGGTAGCCGTGTTAGTCTGTATCCACAAAAACAACAAGGAGTCCGGTGGCACCTTAAAAACTAACCGATTTATTTGGGCATAAGCTTTCATGGGTAAAAACCCACTTCTTCAGATGCATGGAGTGAAAATTACAGATACAGGCATAGATGTACTGGCACATGAAGAGGAGGGAATTACCTTACAAGTGGAGAACCAGTGATAACAAGGCCAATTCAGTGAGGGTGGATGTGGTCCACTCCCAATAATTGACGAGGAGGTGTCAATATCAAGAGAGGGAAAATTGCTTTGTAGTGAGCCAGCCACTCCCAGTCCCTGTTCAAGCCCAAATTAATGGTGTTAAGTTTGCAAATAAATTGTAGCTCTGCAGTTTCTCTTTGAAGTCTGTTTTTGAAGTTTTTTTGTTGAAGGATGACTACTTTTAAATCTGTTATTGAATGTCCAGGGAGATTGAAGTGTTCTCCTACTGGCTTTTGTATGTTACCATTGCTGATGTCTGATTTGTGTCCATTTTTTCTTTTACGTAGAGACTGTCTGGTTTGGCCAGTGTACATAGCAGAGGGGCATTGCTGGCCCATGATGGCATATATCACATTAGTAGATGTGCAGGTGAATGAGCCCCTGATGGTGTGACTGTGGGGACAGAGTAGGCAACGGGGTTTGTTACACGGATTGATTCCTGGGTTAGTGTTTCTGTGGTGTGGTGTGTAGTTGCTGGTGAGTATTTGCTTCAGGTTGGGAGGCTGTCTGTAAGCGAGTACTGGCCTACCTCCCAAGGTCTGTGAGAGTGAGGGATCATGTTCCAGGATAGGTTGTAGATGGTTGATGATGTGCTGGAGAGGTTTTAGCTGGGGGCTGTATGTGATGGCCCGTAGTGTTCTGTTGTTTTCTTTATTGGGCCTGTCCTGTAGTAGGTGACTTCTGGGTACCCGTCTCGCTCTGTCAATCTGTTTCCTCACTTTGCCAGGTGGGTATTGTAGTTTTAAGAATGCTTGATAAAGATCTTGTAGGTGTTTGTCTCTGTCTGAGGGATTGGAGAAAATGCGGTTGTATCTTAGGGCTTGGCTGTAAAATCCTCCTTCACATGGGTCCATATGATGAAGATGTCATGAATGTAGAGCAAGTAGAGGAGAGGTGGTAGGGGACGAGAGCTGAGGAAGCATTGTTCTAAGTCAGCCATGGAAATGTTGGCATACTGTGGGGCCATGCAGATACCCATAGCAGTGCCACTGACTTGAAGGTATAAGTTGTCCCCAAATCTGAAATGGTTGTGGGTGAGGACAAAGTCACAAAGCTCAGCCACCGGGTGTGCCATGGCCTCATCAGGGATACTGTTCCTGACAGTTTGTAGTCTATTCTTGTGTGGAATATTGGTGTAAAGAGCTTCTACATCCATAGTGGCCAGGATGGTGTTTTCAGGAAGATCACAAATGCATTGTAGTTTCCTCAGGAAGTCGGTGGTTCTCGAAGATAGCTAGGAGTGCTGGTAGCATAGGGTCTGAGGAGAGAGTCCAAATAGCCGGATAATCCTGCTGTAAGAGTGCCAATGCCTGAGATGAGTGGCTGGCTCACTACAAAAGCAATTTCCCCTCTCTTGGTATTAACACCTCTTCATCAATTATTGGGAGTGGACCACATCCACCCTCATTGAATTGGCCTTGTCAACACTAGTTCTCCACTTGTAAGGTAACTCCCTTCTTTTCGTGTGCCAGTATATCTATGCCAGGATTTAAGGTGCCACGGGACTCCTCGTTGTTTTTGTGGATACAGACCAACATGGCTACCCCTCTGATCTTTAGTTCTATTCATCAAAGGAACTCAAGCATTATACAAATATATAGGGTCAGATCATCAGCTGGTGTAAATCAGTGTATACTGATTTTAATGGAGTTACTAAACTTAGCACGTGGAAGGCCTACCATAGCACATGGCTTAGCAGTGCACAGCCGTACTACACAACCGTTCAGGATGGAAGGACAGGACACTGTTTACATTTGAAACTACAGCGAGAACTTATGTAGGCAACATGGAATTATCTGAGGTGCACTCTGGCCAGGACAGTAGGGTTTTTTATCATGCCTATTTTTACGAAAAGTGCAATGGGATTATTCTATTCAGGTTTTTATGCGGCGCTTATACCATAGTATCTGAGTGCCTTCCAGTAAACTAGATGATTATACATCTGTCATGTGATGTTTGTTCTCTCATCCACTCCCAGAGGGAAAAGTGTGCACAGCAGAGTGCCTTGTTTTGATAGTGTGTGTCTTTTTATTTTTTAAAATAAATATGCCTGTTGCTATGTGTTCATATTAGAGAAGGCAAGGTCAATGAACTGTGCCTTTGATTTGATTTAGAGCAGAAAGTGGAAAGGTTTATGATAGATCTTAGTGCCTGGGGGAGTTCATACCACATTCTTGGACAGTCCCCAGGGAAAGTTCTGTCTCCCACACAGACAAGTTTTACTGTTGAGAATTCCATTGTTCCAGAGGAGCGTAGTTGTGGACCACAGTATTCATCCTGAAGTTTTAAATGGTCTTTTAGATATCCTGGGCATGGAATAAGGTCCAGGACCTTGAACCTGATTCATTATTGGACGCCAGTATAGGGAGTGGAGGACAGGTTTGATATGTTCCCAGTAGCCTGTGTTGCTGAGGATAAATGCTGTGGCATTCTGTACTAGTTTCCTAAATACTGATGTCTTTGTGCCCAGATATATTGCATTGCTGTAATCCAGCCAAGAGATGATGAAGGCTGAATAACTGAGGCAGGTCTTTGCCCACCAGGATGGGACAGTGTTTCCTAGCCAAGCAAAAGATGGTAGAAAGTGTTACTAGTGGATACTGCTACGTGAGAGCTCTGGGTCAGCAAGGCATCCAAGAGTACAGGCTGAATTGACCAATTGTGGGAGTGTATCTTCAACCAATGTGGACTGCACTGTGGCTGTAAGATCTTCAAAGCTAACAGAATGTTGGGAATCATTAAGAAAGGGATAGATAATAAGACAGAAAATATCATCTTGCCGCTATATAAATCCATGGTACGCCCACATCTTGAATACTGCATGCAGATGTGGTCGCCCCATTCAAAACAGATACATTGGAATTGGAAAAGGTTCAGAAAAGGGCAACAAAATGATTAGGGGCATGGAACAGCTTCCATATGAGGAGAGGTTAATAAGACTGGGACTTTTCATCTTGGAAAAGAGACAACTAAGGGGGGATATGATAGAGGTGTATAAAATCATGGTTTGGAGAAAGTAAATAAGTCAGTGTTATTTACTCCTTCTCATAACACAAGAACTAGGGGGTCACCAAATAAAATTAATAGGCAGCAGGTTTAAAACAAACAAAAGGAAGTATTTCTTCACACAACGCACAGTCAACCTGTGGAACTCTTTGCCAGAGGATGTTGTGGAGGCCAAGACTATAATAGGGTTAAGAAAAACTAGATAAATTCATGGAGGATACGTCCATCAATGGCTATTAGCCAGGATGGTCAGGGATGAAGTTCCTAGCCTCTGTTTCCAGAAGCTGGGAATGGGTGACAGGGGATGGATCACTTGATGATTACTTGTTCTGTTCATTCCCTCTGAGACACCTGGCATTGGCTGCTGTTGGAAGACAGGATACTGGGCTAGATGGAACTTTGGTCTGACTCAGTAAGGCCGTTATTATGTTTGTCTTATGTTCTAAAAGGCTTTCCTCTGCCCACCAGCAACACCTCTGTCTGTCTTACGTTCAGCTTCATCCAAGAGCTGAACTCAATCAAGCTCTAGTGGTAGCGATGTGGTGAGTCATCGGAAGAGCTCTATATCATCTACATATTGCCGGCACATGAGTCTGTGTCATCTGACCAGTTCACCTAGTGCTTGCATATAGATTTTGAAAAAGATCAGAGAGAGAATTGATCCCCGTGAAACCCCACAAGTCAGGGGTCTAGTTGTGGAGGTGCAGTTTCCCATCACTACTTTCAGGAAGGACTCAAACCATTTTAGCATATTACCATGGATCCCTGCCACCTGTCTCAGGCAAGATAGTGGAATCTCATGGTCAGCAGTGTTGAATGCTGCACAGAGGCCCAGGAGAATGAGAATAGATGTCTGTCCTCTATCCATTGACATTTCACCCATGAGTGCCACAAAAGTGGGTTCAGTTCTGTGTCCTGGCCTGAATCCAGATTGATCCAGGTCTAGAATGTTACCTTCAATTAAAGGAGCTCATTGTTGGCCTTTTGGTAGCTTCTTTATGAACTGCTCAGGAATGGGTGGATTGATGATGGGTGGTAGTTGGCTAGAACTAAACTATGCGAGGTGGGTTTCTTCAGTGTAGATTGGACTATTCCATGTTTGAAGGAGGAAGGAAAGATTCCTTCTCTGAATGAGGCATTGGTTCATTCAGTTGGAGTGGCACCAGTTGTTCATGACTCTCTTTCACAAGCCATGAAGGGCATGGGTCAGATTCACAAGTCTTGGGTCAAGACTCCTTTAGGGTGTCCAGAACTTCCTGCTGAGTGAATGTCCTGAATGCTGGGAACGCAAGTGAGCTCTTGGTTGGTGGAAGTAGAGCAGATCCATCCTGTTTGAGAAGACTTCTCGAATGGGTGTGATATTTTCAGTGAAGTAGGATGATAGTTCTTAGAGTGCTTGGTACTTGGCTCTGATAAAGGTTGCAGGCATTCAGGATTGATGTGGCAGTTTATCACCCTGGATAGCTCCTTGGGGTGGGATTTGGCAGCCTCAGTGGAGGCTGATAGGAAGGTTCTCTTGGTCTGTAATACAGCTCAGCATAGGCTTTGAGGAATTCATTATGTGTCACCCTGTCTGAATCAGCCTTTGTTTTCTTCCATTGGCACTCAGTTTTCCCCTCTTGTCTTCATCCAGCACAGGGTGTCAGAAAACCAAGGAGGACTGTGTGTTGATGGGGAGAAAGGGACTGTTTGGGGGGCAGCATATTAATGGCTGCAGCCAGTATAGAATGGTAATGATTCACCAGGTCCTTGACTTCTCATTCTGTGGGTTGGGTCTTTTAGCAGACTTCAAAATTCATTGGAGTCTATAAGTCATCGTGGTCGGATCAGGATAATTGGTCTTTCTTGTTGTCTGAACAATGGAAGGTCTCTGACCACTGCCTTGATGATGTGATCATTACTGTCCAGGAGACTGACATCTTGATTTTAAATCTCATCTATTAGATGATACTTCCAGCAACACAATACTTCCTAAATCATATTGGGTGCATTGTTTTAGTACTGGTTTGGAGGGGTATCCGTACAACCTCTTCTTCCAACAGTATCGAGGGGTCTGAAGGCCTACCATCTAAGTACTGATTGAGCCTGACCCTGCTGAGGTAGATGAGGTATGACAGGTTCACAGAGTGGCACAAAGCCGGTTGCCAGACATAAAGATTATTTACCACGTTTTCCTCCTCTCACCCAGAATGTGAAGGCTAATATTCTCAAGAGGCTGAAACCACAACTTACTTGTATTTGTAAGATTTGATGTTTTTATACGTTTGTATACAGCAGCTATGATCTTACCCATGCCATCATCTTGATAACTAAGCAATTAATAAATGTAGATTCTGATCCTGCAAGATGCTGACACCTCTCGAGAAGCATCCACCCTTCCTCAAGTCACATTTGATTTAAGCATGAGTTGAGTGGAGTGAGCACCGTTCAGAAGGCACTCAGCACCTGGCAGGATCAGAAGAGCATACAGGACCAGAAGTTTTACAGGGAGAAGGAGCTCAGATAACTCAATGCACATGCACATGGGCCAAGGATTACATAGACTGCATTCTCAGGGACTCTTTTTGTTCTGTCTTTATATCTAGTACAGAGGGTTCTTGGTTTATGATTGGGCTCCCAAAGCACTACCACAATATCGATAATAAACAACAGTATTACTATTTATTCATTGACCATCCAAAAGTGTGCTGGGTACCATACACATGCACAACAAAGACACGGTCCCTGCCTCGAAGAGTTCATATTCTATGATTTTGACGAGACACAGTTTGTGAAGACCTATATTCCTTTATGTTTTATGCTGTCTATGCAATTAAAAGGTCTAGAAAAGAAAGGTGAGACTAGCCTTGACTTTCCCAGTGTTCAGATACTGGGTGCCAGCTCTTCTCATGCTGTCCTGCCTGTCCAGGGCTGTCTACATGTTGGATCTAACCCCTCTATATGTTATTTAAAGAAAGAATTCCCCCTTCTTTCAGCCTGCAATTAACCTCACTCCTGTGCTTTTCATAGTTCACGTTACCCCATTATTGCAAGTTTTTATAAGCAGATTATTTCCTTAATAACAGAACTTTCCTGACACTAAGGTTCTAATTGACTTTGAAAGTAATCTTAGGCTGATATTCAGAACATAATAGCAATAGAAATAGCATAATAGCAACATAATAGCACAATATAAATAAAGGAAATGTATGATGTAGTCATATTGCTATTTGACTGTACAATAAATCTGTATCTTGTTATACGGACTTCCACACAATTGCTCTCATAGCCTGGGGGTGGGAGGAGGAGAAGAGACAATACCCAAAATAAATGAGCTCAGTAACCTGTGAGACTTATTTCTGTAAATCCATAATCTAATAATTTCTATCACTGTAGCAAGAAACACTTCATACTGTACTTTAGAAAAACAATATTGACAACTATATAAGCTAAGTTCATAAAATGCTTCTTCTAAAATAGTTATGCATAAAGTATTACCTTTTAAAATTTTGTTTGTTTGTAGTGAAGGTGCTGTCATTTGTAGTGCACATAATTACATTACACAATGTCAAAAGATTCTGAGCAAAATCATGTCTACAAACCCACAGCAAGACATAGACGGTAACCACAATATCTGGATTATTAAACCAGGAGCAAAATCTCGTGGCAGAGGTAAGAGCTTCTTTTGTTTTTTTTTTAATTTAAAGTGTTTATTATTACCCAAAGTTGTAGGATATCATCTGGAGAGGCAACTTGTAAATGTACTGTGTACATCTGCAGTTTGTTCCACCAGGCCATTCATAACTGCATAAACATTTCCAATCAGAACCTTTCCCATTTTCTATGCAAGAGTCATTTTTACATGGTTTTTAACATCTTACCTCTATTACTTTGTGTATCTTGGGGAAGGAATAGCAGAAGGGAAACTTGTCAAATCCTGCAAAGAACTTTAAGTATGTGCTGAAGTGCAAGCATGTGAGTAGTCTTGTTGTCTTCAATGAAAGTCCTTTCAGTTAAGGTCAGTGGAACTACTCACATGCTTAAAGTTGAGAACATGCTTAAATGCTTTGCTGGATTGGGCCCATAATCACTAGGTTACAGGTAAATCTTTCAGGGGTCAGGTAAAATATATATCTTTGTTTGTCTGAACGATGAAGGTTTAAAAAACATAATTAATGCAGGCAAACTGGGGGGGTTTATTTGTTTGTTTTTGTTTAATTCTACCATAACAGGTCTTTTCCTGATGATCTATCAATACTCCACTATTGTTCCTGCATGCATAAGTAGGATAAATGGAAATTCTCTTTCATGTGTAATCTCTCATTTTCGTACACTGTCAGCTACATACATTATTATTAGACATTAACATGCATATTATTTTAATTTTTTTCTCTTCCAGAAATAGTGTGCAAAAATAGACTGGATGATATTCTGAAGCTAGTAGAAGCAACAGATCAATTTCCAGTAAAGGACCACAAGTGGGTGGTACAGAAGTACATTGAGACACCATTGCTAATTTATGATACTAAATTTGATATTAGACAGTGGTTTCTTGTCACTGACTGGAACCCTCTGACTATATGGTTCTATAAAGAAAGCTATCTGAGATTTTCTACACAACGTTTCTCCTTAGACAATCTAGACAGGTAACCAAGGAAGTATAAACAAATATTTTGCTATACAGAATAGTGAATGAACAGGCTGAAAAATTCTGCAGTATGTCAGGTCCCTGAATTTTGACCATGGAATTATGGTAGTGTTAAAATTTCATAAAACCAGTCTATGCTAATGCTTTGACTTTCTGATGATTTTCTGAAGTTGCATTTAGTTACAGTGTGTAAACAGGGGTCATGGTGATATGCTTTAATTAGACTCTTAGTGTCAGTCAGCAGTTGTCATAACTTAAATAGTGATTCTTACTGTGCCCTCATCCATATGAATATTATAGAAAACATAATTTTAGAGCATTTTAGAATATTAGGGGATGTTTGTTCTTTTATGTATGCTGTAGTCTGTTTATCAAATATTCAAGAAAAGCGATAGGCACACTGTGGGAGTTTTGGGGGGAAATTCTATACAACTTATTAAAATTGAACAAGTGTTAAATATCTCCATGGGGACATATTTTTAGCAAGGGCCATACCAGAGATTGGGAGTGGCAGGATATCTGGTAAATTAATCCCTTGTAGATGCTCTATCAGAATACTTACATGGCACCCATCACAATGCCTAATGACCATTAACAAATGTATCTTCACAACACTCCTTTGAGATAGGGTAGCATTATTATCCCCATTTTATAGACAGGGAACTGGGGCATGGAGAACTTAAGTGACTTGCCCCCAAGACACGAAAAGAGAGTGTGACAGAGCTGAGACCTGAACCCAGTTTTCCTGAGGCCCAGGCCAGTGTTTTAACCACAAGACCATCCTTTGTCTTACATTAGAGGGGAATTAATGAAGGAAACTGAAAATAGGTTTAATAATCAAAACCCTGAGATTTTAATATGAAGATAATTTGTTCTAATGTAATATGTTTCTTGCATTTTTTCAGCTGCCTGCTATAATTGTGGTGTCCTCTCTTCACAGCTCCATTCATCTTTGCAATAATTCAATCCAGAAACATTACAAAAATGCTGCAGACCGGAATCCTCTATTGCCATGGCACAATATGTGGACAAGCACCAAATTTCAGGAGTACTTACAAAAGAGAGGTCGAGGCAATATGTGGCGAAATGTTATCTATCCGTCCATGAAAAAAGCCATTACCTACACAATGAGGATGGCTCAAGAGAGCGTTGAAGCCCGGAAGAGCAGTTTTGAGCTATATGGGGCAGACTTTATTCTTGGAGAAGACTTTAAACCATGGTTGATTGAAATCAATACTAGCCCAACAATGTTCCCTTCTACACCCGTCACAGCAGAGCTGTGTGCGCAGGTACAAGAAGACACAATTAAGTTAGTTACTGAGAAGAAACGTGACAAAATCTGGGACACTGGAAAATTCGAACTTCTCTGGAGGCAGGTACGAATAATTCTACATCATTCACTAATCAGATGGAATTTAGTTTGGTGATTGTTTTAAAATCTAATTAACTTAGGTGTGTGGAGAAGTAGCTGGAGAATTTTGCCTAGCAGTACCTGTAGAGGAGTGGCACTTGCACTTTGTGGCCATAGCCCCTCCCTTGGCTACATGAGGCAGCACCACCCCGAACCCCCTCAGTTCCTTCTTACCGCTTATGGCGGGAGTCAGAGCTCTGTGTGGTCTTAAATTCACATTCTGTCACTAGTTTAGTGTTTTTTCTAGCTGTGTATACTTTGTAATACCCTTAGTGCTACTTATGTTTAGTGAAGTATTCTCCTGTGATGCCCTCACCATTGTTTAAACATTGTCCGTCATGTGGGGGAACAGTCCCTAAGAGCGATTCCCACATGTGGTGCTTGTTGTGCTTGGATGAGGCTCATGTCAAGAAATGGTATTCAGTCAGTGGATCGTTTATTAAATTGACTCAAGTTGCAAGCAACCGTTGCCTAAAACAGCACCTGCTTGAACAAGCCATGTGGCCTGTTTCAGCACCAAGGTCCTCATTGGTCAGGGGTCGCCCTCAGGTTCCAAGAATCCTTCTGCCTTGCACTCTGGAGCAGGCACCTCTCCAAAGAGACTGAGGAGCTGTTCCCCATGTAGCGTGCTGAGGAAAAGGTCTCATAAGACCAATCGAGACTGCTCCTGGTCTCATGTGGACTCTCCCATCTCTCTCAAGAAGAGCGTGGACCGGCATGGGGTTAGTGCCGGTATGCAGGATGACGCGGGTGCCTCTAACCACTCCCCAGTATCGAGTACGGTGGCTATAGACCCTGTACCATCGATTCCAATTCTGGCCCCACGGCATTCGTTGAGTCCGGTACCAATGAGGGTGACCCCAGCACCAACTGTTTTGACATCGGCAGCATACTATGTGGATACAGATCTCCTCCAACTTTCCATCATGACCTCTCCTTTGGCCCAGGACTTGGTCAGTGTTGCGTCATTTATAGCCCCATTGGCTGGAGGGATTGCTGAACCCTTGGGTTCACCCTTCCTCACTCTGTGGAAGCAGAGCCAATACTGGGCTTGGTACCTGGGACCTCAGCACCAGGAAACTCCATTGCAGTTGGCACCGTGGATGTTACCGTGGCAGCTTTCACTGCCCTTCACTTTGGCACTGTCAGCTGTTTTGTACTGCTGCTGACCTCAAGGTCAACACCATTTCTGGCACCAGTGTACTCGCTGCTGGTGATACCTCTTCCATCATTCACACTGGTCTCTGACTTATTTTGGGCAACGGAGGAGTCAGACCAGTTACTTGCTCCCTCAGACTGTCTCCTCCTTTATCCCTGGAAATCCAAGGTTCCTTGGCATCGAGGTTGGGATCTTCCTCCTCCCGGTTTCCATCACCCAACCTACATTGGGGACCATTCATGGAGCGGTTGGTATGGGGCTTCTACTGGCCACTAATGCCCGACCCTTTTCAGTAGCTTCCATGTAATCCATGGCATGCTCCTCAGTTGCAGAGGTTGCACTCCTCAGCTTGCTCTAAGGCAAGGTTGCCAGGCAAATCAGTGGCAGGTTCAGGCACCAGTGAGTCTTTCCTGTGCAGAGCCCATGGAGCTGTCCCTTCCAGCTCTGCCAGTCCAGGAATGGGAGCTAGCCTTGATGCAGTTAACCACCTCTTCTTCGTCCCCAGATGATTCATCAGTGCCTGGTTCTTCCTCTCCTCCAATACCAGAGGATTTCAAGGCCTCTCAGGACCTTTTGCGGTGCGTGGCTCCTTCCCTGGGCATTTGGACAGGATTTCTGCGGAGAACTCCCATAAGTTAGTGGATATCCTGCAGCCATCTGCTCCTGGGAGAGTAGCCCTCCCTACTAATGATGCATTCCTAGAGCCTACACAAGTCCCATGGAGCACACTGGCTTCAATACTGCCTACTGCAAAGTGCACGGTGAAATGCTGTTTCATCCTGGTGCAGGGATTTGAGGGTTTGTACTCCCATGTGGCCTCAAACTCCCTAGTCGTAGCTGGAGTGAATGACAGAGCCCAGCAGAGCAGGTTTAAGTTCACTCTTAAGGACAAGGACTCCAAAGAGATGGATTTAAGGTGCAGGAAGATCTCCACCCTGCAAATGCAGATCACGAACCAACAGACATTGTCCAAGTATGACTTTGTAAATTGGACAGATATGTCTAAGTTAGTGGACCAGCTGCCTGAAACCTTCAGAGAGCAATTTTGGGAGTTTGTCAGCGAAGGCTGTTTAGTGGCCAAGATGTCGTTTGCAGTCTGTATTGAACATTGTGAATACTTTGGGCAGAGTTTTGTCCTCTCCGGTGACCATGAGAAGGGCGTCCTGGCTGCAGAATTTGGGCATTGCTTCTGATGTGCAGCAAACTATAGAGGATTTGCCCTTCTGTGCTGGGTGTTGTTTTCAGACAACATGGACAAGTCCCTGCACTCCTTCAAGGATTATAGGGCCACCCTATGTTCCTTGGGGGTGTATACACCATCAGTGCAGACAGCAACAGTACTGTTCACAATGCACCTTTTGGCAGCCTTTTTTCTCTCAAGACAGTTGGATTACCCCAGAAAGGGGCATAGATCCCAGAGGAGGAGGCATTTGAGTCTGGGTTTCGACCAGTCAACACACCCTCCCTTGGCACTCCCCAAGCGCCCATTTTGACTCCTTGGAGCAGAGCAGAGGTCCAGTCATTACTCCCTTTACTCTGCCTCTGTTTGGGGACAGGCTAGCTCGCTTTTACGGTGTTTGGGGCTAGATTACAAGATGGGTCCTAGCATCATCAAATTGAGCTAAGCTATTCAGTTCCTCTCCACTCCTCCCCCACCCCCATCTGCCCTTCCCACCCCTCTTCAGGGCCCCCTCTTATGAGATACTGCTCCTCAAGCAGTCTTCTCTTTACTGGCTATGGGAGTGCTGCTGGAAGTTCCTCTGGAACACCAGGGTCAGAGCTTCTATTCCTGGTACCTCCTGGTTTCCAAATCCAAGGGAGGAGTAAAACCTATTCTCGACTTCTGCAACCTCAACAAATATATCAGATACTTGAGGTTCCATATGGTTGCCCTTTCAACTATCCTCCCCACATTGACTCAGAACAACTGGCTTGCTGCTCTGGACCTTCAGGATACTTACATCCATGTGGCGATTCTCCTGAGCCACAGAAGATTTCTCTGCTTTGTTGTGGTGAACCACCATTTTCAGTACAGTCTTTCCCTGGGCATCACACTGCACCTACTCGACTGCCTGGGTCTCATCATAAACACAGGAAAGTCAACAATGGTCCCCACTCAGAAAATCAATTTCATTGGGGCCCTAATAGACTCTACGAGTTCAAGGGTATTCCTGCCCATCAACCGTTTCTAGACAATTTGTAGCCTTTCTCTCAGTCTGCAGTCCCAGCCTTCCATGACAGTTCACATGTGCCTGAAGCTCTTAGGCCACATGTCTGCATGTATACAGGTGGTTCAATTCACAAGGTTGTGCCAATACAGGCTCAGAACTGTTTTCCTTCCATCCCTTCACCCCTGGACAGGTTAGTGCTCCTCCCTCAGTCAATCCTGGATTCCTTGCAGTGGTGGATGGTTCAGGGGAATGATGTCAAGGCATTTCCTTGATCTGGCCCTTACCAACCAGGACTGCTGTCACGGATCTAGAATCATCTTGCAGACCATCTCAGCAGGAATTTTTCCCTGAACCATGAGTGGTCGCTGAAGCCCAGTGTTCTGCAAGTCATCTTTGGAGTTCAGCCAATGCTGGCTAGTATCCAAGACATCTTGGAGTATTTGCTGCATCTTCAATCATCGTACCTTAATGCTTAGCTCTTTAAGGGTGCGCCTGGTGGCAATCTTAGCTTTTCATGCTCCCATTCTTGGAAGATGGTGGCGAGGTTCTTGAAAGAAATCCTTTGTCTTCATCTGCCCATGATGAACTGGCTTCTTTGTGACATCTTAACATAGTCAGAGTGGCTCTCATGGGACCTTCGTTTGAGCCTCTGGCATCCTGCTCCTTTCCTCTCATGTCAAAAAACTGCATTCCTCGTGGCGATAACATCTGCGAAGAGAGTGTTTGATGGCAGAGCCTCTGTACACACAGTTCTCCAAAAACAAAGTGACATTGCAACTGCACCCGAAATTTTTGTCGAAAGTGGTCTTTCAGTTTCATTTAAACCAGGCGACATATTTGCCTGTGTTTTTTCCTAAACTGCATTCATTGCCAGAGGAGCATCATCTTCACACATTGGATGTCAGACGATGGCTGGACAGGACTAAACCCTTTCAGGCTTCCTCTTGTTTGTTTGTGTCATATGCAGACCATATGAAGGGACAGGCAATCTCTTCACAGACGATCTATAAGTGGATAACTTCCTGCATCAAGACTGCATATGAAGTGGCTTCGGCTATGCCCCCTTTATGGGTGTGAGCTCATTCTACAAGAGTGCAATAGCATTCTTAAGTTATGTCTCAATGTTGGATATTTGCAGGGCTCATTTATCTCACCATTGAATTTTGGCCTTTGTGTGTTTGAGGTCATTTAAACAAAACACTTCCTTTTCTCAATGTTAGCCACCTTTAATGAGTAATGGCTATAACTTTATTGCTTCAAACTGATGGGTTAGTTGGTAACTAAACAGTGTGCTAATCTGGTTCAGAGTTCTTACAGTGGAAGGAACAGGATGCTGTATTCTAGAGTCATTGCAACTGACTGAGGCCAATGTTAATCTTCATGTTAATTAGTAAATTATTTTAGTGTTCTTTTTTTATACTGATTGATATATCTAAAGTGAAGAAAAACAGAGCACAATAAATTAGTTATTCAGTTAAAACAAATTAAATAAGATGCTTGCAGCACCAAGAGTGATTATGATGCAAGTTCTGACTTGCTGTGCCCCAGAGGGGAACATACTTGAGGGAGAACAGATGGCAGTTTTACTGTGTGCTGTCTCTGGGACTTGAACCAGTCAGGTATGACTTCAGGCTCTGATCCTGCAAACACTTATGCATATTAGCAATCCCATGTGTATAAAGTTAATCATGTGCATAAGTGTTCACAGGATCATGGCTTTGATCTATGCTGGTTGCAGTGGAGGCTGCAGCAGACGTACAGAATCAGTTAATTCCCTGGCTTCTTAGGCCATCCTCTGTTCACCTCACATAAATCCAGTTTTTGGTATTGCCAATTTTAATTGGTCAGTTTAGTCACAAGGTAACGTTTTATGAAATAGAAAAAAAACCTAAATTTAGAAAAATTCTGATTTCATCACCAAAAATTGAGTTTAAAAGAAACATTCTGGCAGAATTCAGAAAACAAAGAAAGGACTGTTACAAAAGCAATGCAATTAAAACCCTTTTGAATATGCTGACTTTCCCCTCATATTTTTATTTTAAAATTTTTGGCCAGCTCTAATAAATACCTGCTTTCTTAGCATTATTTTCCAGGAAGTATATTACACCTGTGCTGGCTTTGTTTCTGGGTACAGTTCAAGATATTGATTTTGAGCTGTTAAGCTCCTTTTGTGGCTTTTGTAAGTTTTTTGTTTCTTAGAGGGATAGCTCAGTGGTTTGAGCATTGGCCTGTGAGTTCAATCCTTGAGGGGGCTATTTAGGGATCTGGGGGGGCGGAAAAAACTGTCAGGGACAGTACTTGGTCCTGCTAGTGAAGTGACCTTCAAGGTCCCTTCCAGTTCTATGAGATAGGTATATCTCCATATATTTTATTTATTTAGAGACTGTGTTTTACCCAGAAAGTAGAGATCAGCTGGGATGTTCAAGCTAACAATCCCTAGAGTCGGTTACTGTGTTTGGAGCAGGCATTCTCAGGGGCCAGTCCTGGAGATGGTCTGTCATTCTTAATTTCAACCTACAAGGCATGCTGTAAGGCTTATGCTTTTACCCCATTTTTTTCTGAACAGTGGGTTGAATGGGGAGGATTTTAATTGTGTTGAAAAGTTTCTTTCACCTTATTGATCATGATTGTTGTGGTAATATATTATTTCCAATACCGTAGCACCAAGGAGCCCCAATCAAGGGTCAGGGCCCTGTTGTGCTAGGCACCGCAGAGACAAGTATCAAAGAAGAGGGACTCTCACCCAGCAAGTTTACAGTGTAGGTGTCAGACAGGGTGCAACAGTTGGGTGATACAGACAAACAAGAGTGACGGGTTTGATAGGCTGAAGTAACCATAAATCAGAGTTTAGTATAAAAGCAGAAGTCTCAGTAGTTTTCCATTATTATTTTGTTCATTTTCCTTGGCCAATGTGTTAGGCCCATTATATAAAGTGGAAAAATAGACAGCATGTAGAAACTAGTAGCTTTAGTAAGTTCTAAATTATGCAGTTTTGGTCACAGTGGTGTGGAATCCTTTGTCACACAAAGTGCTGTATGATCCCATTTTATAAATAGATGTAACCCATGAAACAGTAGTGTCTTCATTTATAATTTAGTAGTACATGATTCTGTTGAGAAATTTAATTTCTTTTTTGTGTCTCTCAAGCCTCTTTTGGATCTGCCGCCGTTCAGTGTTACAGACCTTTTTGTGGAAGGAGTTGGTATTAAGAGATCAAGGCAGAAAGCTGCTCCCATCACTAATTTGAATTTTCTTGACACATTAGCAAGAATACCACAGACAACTGAGTGTGCCTCACCCAATCATGAAAAACAAGGAGAATCAATAGGAACTGTAAATAACAAGCAAAACATCAAAATTAAAATTGAAAAAGCTACTTTTTGCACTTTACCTAAGCCTCTCAAGAGGCCACCAGGGAAAAGTTGTAAAGTAAGGGATGCACATGTGAAATCCACTGGGCACATAGATTTTCCCAGCTTAGTTTTACAACCTACACAAAGCATCACAGAGACGAAACATGTGCAGTATATAAACAAGGCAAAAGGAATAACAGATTCAAGCTTTCACAGAGTAAATCAGACCGCCTCTACCTTTCAAAATATGAATCCCTTGGACTGGCCTTTACTTCAGCCTTCCAAAATATCAGGTAATATCTGCTGTTTAGCATTATTTCACTATAAATTACATAAAAATACATTTTAGAGGGAAAGTAGAAATTAGGTATACAGCATAAGTTTTTGGATTGCTTAGCTAGTTATTTGTATACTAGAATCGTATTCTAGTTATTTGTCTCTCTAATAGAAATAGCCCCAAACTTTTCAGTCTCTCCTTTGGAAATCTCTCCATGCCTCTAATAAGTTTTGCTGCTTGCCTCTGAATCCCCTGTATTTCTGCTGTATTGTTTTTGAGAGAGTGATCAGAATGGGACACGGTATTCTGGGTGAGGGCATACCATTTGTATATATAATATAATGGCATACTATATTTTGAAGATTATTTTCTATTGCATTTTTTATACAGCATACATCTTGTTTGTTTTTTGGACTGCCGCTGCCTATTGAGCACAAGTTTTTATTAAGCTATCCACAATAATGCCCAACTCATTTTTCTTCTGTGCAGAGGTCACAAGTCCTTATTATTTCTGCTAGTGATAGCTGGCTAGTCTCTTTCAACTTCCTATTATCTCTGGATGGCTCAAGGGATTGGTACTGGAGTACAGAGACTTTCACCTCTGTATCACTAGTTCACATGTAATCCAGGTCAGTAGTGACCATAATTTGTGGGTGCTGGTCGTGGCTGCCGGATATGTGGGGACTATGCACTAGTTCCAGTGGACTGATATTCACATTACAAAATCACCATCTTTTAGCAGAAACTGGAACCTAATGGGCAGAGAGGTCAAAGACTAAGCAAATATGGATACTGAACTTCAGTAGTTCTCCAGGTCAGTTTTGAAACATCATCAGGGCAACAGGAACTGCAGCTGCTGTCATCTGTACCTGTTCTGTGGATAAGAAGAGGATTTCAGTTTAAAGGCCTATAAGCCCTAACATTTCATAAGTTCTAAATTCATTAAAAGGGATCCTCTTCCTACTGATACTGCCAAGTGTGTTTTAAAAACATAGCATAAGGATGTGGTATGTGGTGTTCAGTTTGCCAAGAGTTGGATGAATAGGCATATTTCACTGTCAGTTGAACTCTTGTCTACAGGCTTACACACACATCCAACACTTACAGAATGGTCTGCTTGTGGTATCTACACAGTCCTTTTCATGTATTAACAGATTTTGCATTAATATCTAAGGCTCACAGTTTCCATGTAGTCCTGTTTTACTATTGAAAAAGTGCTATATAGTATAACTGAACACAGTTTTTGAAGAGTTTATTATGATTTTGCATAATAAGGACTTTTAAAATATGGATTTCAGTTGAAATGTGGGTTAATTAATTACTGCTTTATTTTTTTGAAGGTTTGCAGAACAGCAACAAGAAAATTCCATGCTTAGTTTGTGGAGACACTTTCCAGTTGGAGAAAACTTGTAAACACTGCAGCTCCTTTTGTGCAACAGTACTGCAAGGAAGTTCATATTTACCTATGAATGATTGTTCTACCCCCGAAAAGAAGGTGACCAGCAACAAGATAATTGTTCATAGCAATGTCTTCCCTGAAAACATATGAGTCCATTCTGAGTACTCCAGTCTTTTAAAGGCGTTTTTTGAAACAAAAATAGAACTGTACAAGCCTTGCATAAACCGATGTTGAAGAAAAATTATTTACCATGAGCAACTCAAAGATAATATTTAAAGGTCTTGGGCTGCAAGAGTTGGATATTTTTGTAAACCATGGCTGTGTCGGAGACTAACTGATTATATTGAAGCCAATTAACAAAGTTTACTATTACAGCAGCTCTGTGGCCAATATGCTGGACCCAACTGTGTGGAAAGTTCAAAGAAATACAGTGAGCTCTCTTTTTATGTCATGCAATACTCCCTCCATTTTTGCATCTGCAATCCCCTGTATGATGGCCATCTTGTAAACAAGAGTTTCATCAACTGTAAAAACTCTTGAGTGTCAGTGAATGGGAGTGGAAGGGCTTGCCAACCTGTCCACTGGCACATAGTGTAGTGTAAAAAAAACACATTGTGATATCTTTTTCTTGGAGACACCTGGGGAAGAAAGGAAGATTGCTTATGATCAGTACCTTTTTACAAAATATCTTCTTGGGATATCCCCCCGTACTTTGGGCTATGGTCCTTTACTGCTCTTCCATGGTCCACATGTCAATTAAGTCAGACAAGGTGAACCAGTTAAACCAGCCATTTATTTCCCCGCCATTAATATGAGGATAGTAGTGTCAAAGTAATTCTATATTCTTAGCTTTTCTTCCTGAATTGACCAAGGAATTGACCTCATCTGTGATCCATGGAATAGCCTATCTTCCAACGGTGGGCTGTGGACCCTTTAAAGATGTCTAGCTGACAGACGCCTGTTCTATTTGTCAGTCAGGAAAGAACCCACCCTAATTTAGAGCGTCTTGGGGATTCCTCAGGGTGCTTATTGGAGTTTCTTTACAATACCTGTCAGAATCCAGTTCCCATTTTGCCAGGAATAGCCAGTGCAGAATTCCTAATAAGTTATTCCACAACCCGGGGCTTAAAATCAGAATTAGCCTCTACATCTCCAAAGCTCAAGAGGAACAAAGAGTTTCATAGAATCAAAATGTAAAACACACTAGTGATAGAAACTGCCTGTTATACCAATCAATTCATCTTACTTCTACTGCAGGGTTTTTTATTCCAGTACATTTTCTTTTTGTTCAATCTATTTCAAAAGTCAGGAGGGGTTGGTTTCACCACTACTCCCAAGAATAGACTCAGTGGTTTTTGTGATAGTTCTGGCACCTTGTTTGAGTGACAAGGGTACATCACACTTGAGTGTGACTGATCTTTAACAACTGGCTTCAGTCGTGACATAGCCCAGCATTACAGAAAGTTAGCACGTTCTGACTCTAGTGGCCGCTCATACAGTTAGGATCAAGTTGCAAGTGGCTGAATAAATCTATTTCAGTTAACTGTCTGAAACAGAGAATGTGGGGGTAGGCTCACAAGGCCCTGGAAAAATGCCGGCAATCTGATTGTGGTTACACATTCCAGGTTGTGAAATACTGACCTCCTCTAGAGATTTTTTTTTCCTACCCAAACTATTGAAGGTGCCAGATACACCCTTTTCATGCAAAAAAGCAAGCAGGAGTGCATAGGAGATGATAAATTAAATCCTATTCTTTCATTAAAACAACTTGTATTTGCCATAAAAGCAGCAGATGGTGGGTGGGACTGCAGGAAAAAGAGAGCCTATGCATAAGACATGCTATAAAAATGTCCAAGACCAAGCAAATCATCAGGGAACCATAATTTGAGCCTATGTGAATGATCCTTATTATACCAAGTACAGACATCTTTTAAGGTCACCTGATATCAGAAGACCCATGCAAACAGACTGCATTAATAAATATGAGAATGGTAATCTTGAATACCAGTAAACAGAGTATCCTGTATGTCAGTGGTTCTCAAAGCCGCTCCACCGCTTGTTCAGGGAAAGCCCCTGGCAGGCCGGGCCGGTTTGTTTACCTGCCGCGTCCACAGGTTCGGCCGATCACGGCTCCCACTGGCCGTGGTTCGCCGCTCCAGGCCAATGGGGGCTGCAGGAAGGGTGGCCAGCACATCCCTTGGCCCGGGCCGCTTCCTGCAGCTCCCATTGGCCTGGAGCAGCGAACCGCGGCCAGTGGGAGCCACAATCGGCTGAACCTGCGGACACGGCAGGTAAACAAACCAGCCCGGCCCATTAGGGGCTTTCCCTGAACAAGCGGTGGACCGGCGTTGAGAACCACTGCTGTATGTGACAAGGTGCTGAGTGAGAAGCACTTAATCAGCTCCTGCCACTCCAGCTCCAATCAAGGGGAATGGATTGGGACTGGTTGGATAGCCCGGTGTCTGCCTCGTAATGGGCAGCACCTGCCAGCCTCATTAGCCAGAGCTATAAAGGCTGGGAGGAAGCCAGGGGAAAGGTGGGAGAGGCCAGGCAGGCACGCACGCACGCACGCACAGAGGGAGGTGAGAGCCTTCTGGTCTGTTGCTGGCCAGGCCTGTACTTGGCAAAGTTGCACTTGCACCTGTACATAGGTGGAAAGTGGTGGTGGGAAAAGAACTGTAAATAAAGAACACTGGTGTTGCATCAAGTTGAGGCGTTCCTGACTGGTTGGAGAGGGCAGCAGGGGCTGAAACCAAAGGGGCCCAGCTTGCTCCTCGCTACACTGTAATAAGTAAATGATCAACAAGAATGGTACAAGATATGGTGAGCTGACTAGGATTGACATGTGCACCAAAACCACCTGCTGTATAGCATGCAATGTTTTTATTTGAGGTTAGATGATCACCTCCCACTCAGGCCCCTTTTACACTGTGTAAAAGGGCTGGAGTGGCATAAGAGATCCTAAAAGCCACATATCCAGCCAGGGAGGATTCCCCCTGCCCAAGCTCTGTGTAAGGCTGCCTTCTGACTTGCCAACCCTTGCTTAGGGGCCAGGGGTGGGCCACAGCACATGGTGCTGCAGAGGTTCCAGGCAGTGCAATGGATCATAGGACAGCCTTGGGGTGCTGCTGTAATTTAGACAGGCTCCTAGAACTATTTAAGTTATGCTGGGGGGTCTCCATCCCACAAAACAGTCCAGGATTGGGAGGGCACAAAGGTGGCTGAAAACCACCTTTGCGCCCCCTGCCTCTGGACTGCAAGTCGTACATTGCACCCAGAATATTTCGGGTGTACTGTCATCTCTGCAATGGTGTTTTTATTGATGGACATGCTGTTGTCTAATTTGAAATATGAAGACTTGGAAATGCAAAAGGATAAGCCTATTAGCAAGACAAAGGGAAGAAAGATCATATCCATAAGATTGGTTCAGAAACAGATCTCTCTGACAGTTTCCCCACGCTCAGTAATGAAAATCCACTGCCCAGATCATAAGGATTCCAGTAAACGCACATTGCCAGTATTATACCAGTAGAGCATCATGTATATCACATGTAAGTCCTGATTTGTGTTTATTGTGGGCTGTGACAAGTTGGGGGCTCTGTACACAGGGCCGGCTCCAGGCACCAGCGCTCTGGCCGCCAGGGAGAGCAGTGCTCTGGCCGCCGGGGAGAGCGGAGCCGCGGCGGGCTCGCCACCCTCCCCCCGGCGCTCTGGCCGCTAGGGAGAGCGGAGCCCCGGCCGGGCTCTCTGCCCTCCTCCCAGCACTCCGGCCGGTCAGGGAGAGCGGCCCGCGGCCGGGCTCGGCACCCTCCCCTGCCGCGCTCCCCGCCGGGGGGGAGCCGGGGGCGGCGGGAGGCTTTTTTGTCTGGGGCGGCAAAAAAGCCAGAGCCGGCCCTGTCTGTACAACTTATGAATTCTGAATGATATGTAATACAACATACAATTACTGTGTTATGAAATGCCTGTATGTATGTAGATCCAGTGTTGCTGACAGGACATGCAGCAGGTATGCTCCAGACAGAGGACAATGAGAAGGGACTTAATATTTAATGATTGTGCTTTGACCCCAATGGTTATGTGTAAGAACCACTGATCTGAAGGGAAAAAATATGTTCTCCTCTGTCTGAAGAGAGCCGGTGGGGGAAGAGGAGAGTGGTGGAAAATTACCAAAAGACAGGACCAGTGGTGCCAGGTATTGGAAGTGAGGGTGTATAAATAAGGAGAGCCACATTGGGCAGGTGAGAGGACAGTCACAGAGGATGGGTAAAAAGTCTCCATGATGAAGCAGCAATCCAGCATGTAGCAGCTTCATGAGGCAGGAGACCTTACCTGCTTTCCTGAACACACATGGTCTCCCAAGGGAAGAATAAGGTAGTGAGGGGCATTACATCAAAAATGTTTGTTTTCTAAATTATCTGTACTCTCTTGTGCTTCATTTGATTAAGTAAAGGAGCATTAGGTTGTTAGAATCTGTGTGAAGTGTGTGTGAGTGTTTTATATGCTTCAGAATTACCACAGCCCTCCCAAGAGAGCTAAACAGTAAACCACAAAGCTTACATCTTAGGGTGGAACTCTGGGAGAGGTGTGTTTGAGTGCGAGCAAATCTACAGGGACACCACTGCACCCAGGGGCTTGGCAGCAGCACAGTGGATTCTAGCTCTCAGAAAGCAGTGTTAGATGGCAGGTCTGCACCTTGAGACCCCAACAATGGGGCAGTGGCTGGGCTTTGTTCAGGCTGCAAAGGCTATAAACTCCTCTGGGGGATCTAGGGATACTGAGGCTTGGATTCCTCTCACAGCAGTTGTCTGATGGGTGGCCAGCAGGGGATGCCTGACTGGATCTGTGACATGGGTCCCATTCCTGAAGGAGCCATGAGTCCACATTGGCACCAATACATGATTGCTCCTATGTACAGAGGGGAAAATTAAATCTTGCCTTGGGCAGGCTACAGAAAGTGGCTAGCTGACTAAATGCATTGGGATGGTTCAGTTTTTGGTGCTTGTTGAATGGGGCCATAAAACTCCTCAGCCTCTGTTGATGTTGTAGAGGTCAAGTGCCCTGTGCAAGGGAGGTACTGAGCTCTCTTGAAGCCAACCATCATTGAGAAACCTGGCTGCTGAAGCAGAAGTTTTCCCTTTCTTCTCTTATGGAAGGGAACTAAGGGCTTGTCTATACTTATGGCTAAATCGGTACTGCTGCAATTGATGCAGCCGTGTCGATTTTAGTGATCTGGTGAAGACAAGCTAAGTTGATGGCAGAGCGCTCTCCTGTTGACTTCTG